AGCAGCGTCAATTCCAGCAGCAGCGGCAGCAGCGGGGACAGCAGCAACAGCGGCAGCAGCAGGGACAGTAGCAGCGGCAGCAGCAACACAGCAGGAGCAGCGACAGCAGCGGCAGCAGCAGGGTGAGTACCAGCAGCACACAAGCAGCAGCAGCGTGGTAGCAGCAGTTCAAGCGCGGCAGTCGACAGCAGCGCAACAGGCCGGCAGCTGGAGGAAAGCGGGCGGAGCAGCTGCGTCGACGGGCAAAGGGAGAGGACGCAGCAGCAAAGGCGCATGCAGCTCTGCTGCGACGTCTGTACGAAGAATGTGCAGCAAAGGTAGCTGCACTACAACAGCAGGCCGCCCTACAAACTCGTGCGCTCTACCATTCCTTACATAAAGCCTTGTGGGAACATGGTGCGCTAAAGCCCTTCGAGAAACGCCTGGGAAGAATCAGCAGAATCACGGGTAAGCAACCGGCGGGCTACATGTACACACACACGCATATATGCGTGTTTTTCTTATGATATTGGTTTGTACGTATGTGCAGCAACTACAGAGGTATACGTATGTGCAGCAGAAATCACGTGTAAGCAGCCGACGGGCTACATATGCACATACACACCTATAGGTGTGTTTCACTAGGATATAGGTGCACACGTATGTACGGATACGCCCGCCGGGATCTGTATCTGCTGATAGACGTGTACGTGTACAAACATATTGTCCGACATGTGTACCTGATGATTGATATATGCATATGCGGATACGCCCGTCGAGCTGTGTATGACAGTGGATCTACATGTGCACGGATTTTGGTTTGTACGGAATATTTGTTTGAGGTGTGCAAGTAATCATAGCTGTGATATATTTGGAAACTTATGTTGCTCGAGATATGTTTCCGATAGCAGAGGTGCATGTGCGCGGACCTCTTGTTCGAGACCTGTATGTGATTGTAGTAGTATCTGTATACGCATACCTTGTCCGACATGTGCGGAAGATGAAGTTTGTGTGTACACGAACATGTTGTCCGAGATGCATATTCAGCGGTAAATGTATACGTGTACGAATATATTGGCCGGATGTGCGCTTGATGATAAATGTGCATGTGTGCGAATTGGCGTTCCCGATATGTACTTGATGATAGCTGTGTGTGTACAGTCATATTGTCCGCGCCTCGTGTCTGATACCATAGGGGAACATGTGTACGGACATGCCGGCCGCCGAGATGTGCATGTACCAAGAGCTGTGTATATGTGTGCAGATATGTTGTTCGAGAGGTGTATTCAGTCGCGGCTGTGTATATCTGTATCGGTTGTTGTTTGAAAGGTGTACGTGATGATAGTTGTATTTGGGTACGGATGTGTTGTCCGAGATGTGCAGAAGATGACAGATTCGTGTGTGCACTGACAGCCTGTTCGCGACGAAAAAAGTACTATGGCAGATGTATACGTGTACGGATATATGGGCCCGGTTGTGCGCCTGGTGATAGATGTGTGTGTGTGCGAAAACGTGGTATCGGATTCGTAGCTGTTGCTAAATGTGTATGTGTACGGATATACTTGATTGTGATAAATGTGTATGCGTACAGATATAGTGTCCTCGTTGTGTATCTGAGGACATAGGGTAACATGTGTACGCACATGCTGGCCACCGGGATGTGTATGTACCGATAGCTTTGTACATGTGTGCGGTTATGTTGTTCGAGTTGTGTATGTAGCCGCACATGTGGACATGTGTACGGATTTGTTGTTTGAGGTATGTATTGGGTCGTGGCTGTGTACATGTGAATAAGTCTGTTGCCAGATGTGTGTACTAGTCATGTGTGTATGTAAGGATATGCTGCTCGGGAGTCGTACCAGATAACAGATGTATACACATACGCACATATTGCTCAAGGTCTGTCTCTAATAGAAGCTGCCTATATACGTACGGCCAACATGCCCGTACATGACAATATACGTACGGGCATGTTGGCCGAGATGTCTATATATGTAAGGGCATATTGTTCGAGGTGTGCACTTATTTATAGCTTAGATATATATCTGTTTTTCTACTGCTCTGTCGGGTGCTGCTGTCGCAGCTATTCTGTATACAGAGACTCTCGTACGGTGAAAACTTCTTCCATCTAGAGAAGCACGACAGTGTACCTTTCCGCGCTGCTGGAGCTGCTGGTGCTTTTCCTCGTGTTCTGCTGTTGTGTGCGATTGATGGTGGTCACTGGTGTCCCTCTTTGTTCTGCTGTTGCTCCTTTGCTGCTGGCCTTCTCCGCCGTAACCACCTCCTGCTGCCGCTGCCGCTGCTGCCTCCCTGGGTCTTTCTTCTCCGCAGATCTGCCCTGCAGACGTCTCGCCGTACTTGAAGCCTCCACCAGGTGAGCGACCCGCTCTACTATGCTCAGTAGGCCATAGTGCAGAGTGAGAAAGGCATACATACGTGCCTCCAGTGTACTACGCTGCGCCTGCAACTATGAAACAGGCAGGGGTGAGGTGAAAGAAAGAAGGAGACAAAGAAGGAAAGAAGGAAAAGAACATCCCTGTCGCACGTCGCTGCTCAACCCGGTATTAATCTGGCAGGGGCGTACGTGCGAGAAAGAGCAAAGAAAAAAACAGAAACAAAAAAAGAAAGATAGAAAGAAGGATGGAAAGAAACACATATTCCCGCTGTGCTTTGCCGCACAACCCAATGCGAAAGAGGCAGGGAAGGGGAAAAAGGTTATTGCTGCTGGCCGCTGCGTAGACAAGAAAAACGGCAGGGGTGCGGCCGCTGCTGGTAGATGTCTTCCCTTATGACGGTCACTACAGCTCTTCCAGCATTGTTCATCACCTCTTCGCTGCGCGCGTATCGTATCTAAACGCAGCAGCTGCTGCTGCTGCTTGAGGCAGCTGCACCGCGAAGCAGCAGCTGCTGTTTCGTCTCTTAAGTGTGTACTCATACGCAGAGAAGGAACAGAATCGCCCACCTTCTTTCATTCCAATTCGTGAAGCCGTCACCTTCTGCTCAGCATGATCTGGTCTGCGTTCTTCATATTCCTGCTCACTTGCTGCATGCTATGTGGACAGATACATATATATATATATATATATATATATATATATATATATATATATATATACACGCATATGCATATATATATATATACATATATATATATATATATATATTCATATACATATATATATATATATATAAGCGTTTTACGAGCTAGCCGCTTCCGAGCTATACTGCTACACCCCTCTTGCCCCCGTCTTCCTGTATAGTAGGGAAGGCGTGCGTGACTCTGTTGCTGGGTGCCCGAGCTTTCACCGATATGCTGCGACGCGGAAGATCTGCTGCTTTGTTGTTCCCGTATTTATCAGGTGTTGCAGCTCTGGGTGCTGTCGCGCGCACGCCGGTCCGTGCTGCGGGAATTTGCGTGCCTAAAGTGAACCTCCTCTAGCTTCTGCCGGCCTGACGTCTGCCTGGCTGCCCTTCAGCCCCTTCCTTAACTGTCTCTGCGCCCAAAGCTGCCGTATCCGCCGTGAATTCCACGTGACTTACAATGTAAAAAAAAAGCCCAAGCAGGCGCTCCATGGCCGCATTGCATCGTTTGTCCCATTCTCTATAGTCTTTATACATATATACATATATATGTATAAATATATATATATATATATATGTAGACATACGAATATGCATACGTATGCCTGTGTCGACGTGCACGTATATGTGAAGCGGTGCTCTGCGTAGGCGCGCATGCCGCGGGCGTATTTCAGTGAAGCAGCGCTGGGTACGTTTGCGCGTGTGCATGTGAGGGCCGCAGCGGCAGAAGCGACGTGCAGCAGCGGCAGCAGCAGCAGCGGCAGCGGCGGCAGTGGCAGCCGCAACAGCAGCTTCTGTGTACACAAATATACATACATACATATATGTAACGTAAAAGCCTGTGTATGTGTACGTATAGCGGCCGCATGTTTATGAGACAGCGGTGGGCACGTACGCGCCTGCGTATGCGAGCGCCGCAGCGCAGAAGCGGAGTGAAGCAGCGGCAGCAGCAGCAGCGGCAACCGCAACAGCAGCATATGTATGTATGCATATATGTGCAGAGTAGTAATTTGTGGAGGTCTACGTGCAGCAGCCGTATGAAGCATCTGCTCTATGTGTGCGCTTACGTATATGAGGGCATCTACCGCACTACCTTGTCGATGAATACCCCGCTCTTGCTGCTGTCTGCACACTGTGGTGGTGTCGCAGCTACATAATCGCTGAGGCTATGCCTTTGCTGCGTGGACTGTTCGGACGCGTGCGGCTGCTGCAACAGTCTCGACCTACGCTGCTGCTGGTGCTGCTGATTGAGCTGATGTGCTGCTGCTACTCTTTGGCATGCTGCTGCCTCGACTGGTTTCCCCTGTCCCGTGCTGCTGCTATCACTCGTGCATGCTGCTGCTTCGGCTGCTTCCGCCAGTGCTGCTGCTGCTAGTCTTCTTGCATTCTGCTGCTTTGGCTGCTGGTTTCTTCAGTAATGCTGCTGCTAGTGTTGGTGTTGTTTTTGCATGCTGCTGCCTCCAGTGCTGTGGTGATGTTGCTATTCTTGCAGGCTGCTGCTTCAGCTGCTTCTCCCGGTGCTGCTGGGGCTGCGGCTATGAATTGTACATGCTGCGGCATCGACTGCTTTCTCCAGTGCTGCTGCTGGTGCTGTCGCTGCTCTTACGCTTGCACGCTGCTGCGGCTGCTGCTGCTGTTGTTGCTGCTGCTGCTGTTGCTGCTATTTTTCTTCCGTGCTGCTGCCTCAGCTGCTGCTTTTTCGCCGTGGTGTCACGTCCGTGTCCGCAGTCGTAGCTGTATCTCTTCACCATGCCACACGTGCTTCCCATACATGCATGTACTCACATACGTGTACGTGTATATATCTCCACATTTCTGCTACTGATGTATATATAGGTGTATGCGCATACATGCGTTACCGTCTGTGAATCTGTTGAGACATTGCTGCTGTGCTGCTGCCGTAGATGCCACGCGCCTTGATCGCCTGCGAGCCACACAAGCCTTTCGCCGCGCCGTTCTGGATGAAGACCTCTTCTTGGCCTGTAAAATACTACGCACAAAGACGCGGTATGTATTCTTTCTCTGAATTTACGTATGTGGGTACATACACATGTATAGATACACACAGGTATGTATATATAAATATACACACGTGTGCGTATATCTCTTTGTGGTGTGTGAAATAAGACGCGCGGCGAGACGATATGAATTATGCCTCCTTACGTTCGTATACGCACATGTGTACACATATATGTTTCCCTCTCCGTTGTCTAGAAGATACTATGAGCAGAGACACGGGAGGTATCTTCCTCTTTATATACGTATATTTATATGTATAAAAATCTATGTATATGCATATGTATATGTGTATATCTCTTTGTAGCTTTCGACGTACTATGCACGAAGACGCGGTACGTATTCGTCGTCTATGTGTAGGCGTATATGCACCAGTACATATGTATGTATATATATATATGTATGTATACATATACGTATATATATATATATATATATATTCCTGGCCTGTGAAATACCGCACATGAAAACTCGGCGTGTATTATCCGTATATATAGATATATATATATATATATATATATATATATATGCGTACGTATACATGTGTGAAAATATGTGCGCATATATACGTATATATATGTATACATATATGTGTACGCATACACGCATATATGTATATGTGTATATAGATCGGCTGCCGGATTACATACAGCTGCTTGTACGTGTATATAACGAGCAGCGGTAGGACCCGCGGCAGACTGTTTACACGGTGGCGTGGGAGTGCAGTAGAAACTACTATACGGCAAGCCTCCTGCAGTGCATGCCGGGAAGGGCAGAGAAAACAGCGGCTCATTTGGAGCTGCACACGCACGATTTCTTGCCGTAGCCGCAGCAGCAGCGACTGTTGTCGTATGGCGGGAGATGTTCACACGACGAGCCGCCGCAGCAGCAGCAGGAGTCAGTTCTTTAGGAGATGCACGTGTATATATATATACATATGTGTGTGTATACACTATATGTATATATATATATATACGTATATATGTACATATATATATATATATATATATATGTCTCTGGCGCGCGTCCGGCGGCAGCAAGGTAGACACCAATGCCCATCCAATTTGCTCTGCTGCTGCTGCTGGTGCTGTTTTGTCTGCCGGTGCTATTTTGTCTGCTGCTGCTACTCCGTCAGCTGCTGCTATTCCGTCTTCTGCTGCTATTCTGTCTTCTGCTGCTAATCTTTCTGCTGCTGCTATTTCTCTGCTGCTGCTTTTCTGTCTGCTGCTGTCATTCTGTCTGCTGCTGCTATGTCGACTTCCTGTGGCTTTTTAATCTGGACAAAGCATGTGCCGCTGCGTCTGCTTCACCTTCAGGCTGCTGCTCTTCAAAACGCGGCCGAAGCTCCTTGCAAAATTTTTGCGTCTGTACAAGACTGTACATGCGAATCCTCTAGAGAGAACACTCGCTGCTTCTCGAAGACGTGGTGTGCGCGCAGCAGCAGAGGGTGGAGCACCAGCAGCGGCAGAGGAAGAAGAAGATGAGAAGGAGAGAGAACAAACTCACAGAGGAAAGGAGACGGAGACAGGGATGCGGAGGAAAATGACGAGGACGACGAGGAAAGCGACGGCCCTGAGGGCGGCCGTAGCAGCAGCAGCAGCGGAGGGGGAGGAAGAGAAAGAAGGCGGCTCACGCGCAGAGAAAAAAATGCCATAAAGAGGAAGAGTCTCAGACCAAAACCAGGGGGGCCTTACAGCGAGCGTGAACTCAGATTTCTACGAAAAGTATGGCAGACAACTCTTCGCAAACCACGTGTCATCATCAAAATGATGGAGCCTGTCGCTGAGTGGAGTGGAGATGAAGCCAAAGCGCTTTACGTCAGACAAATGGAAGAATATAGGTAAATCTCGCCCACTTGTCACACGTCAAGAGGGCTGCAATCGAATACATAGACACATATACATATTTGTATATGAATATATAAGAGTATTTGGTAACTGACTGGGCGACTATGCGTATTTGCATGTACAGAGAGAGATAAAGACTTAGGTAACGCTTTAAGGAAGGAACCCGAAGGAAAGACAAGCGTATCCGCGACGATTACCAGCTCAGTGATATCCTCGCGGGCATGCCTCTACCATACGTGCACGCAGGAAGATGTAGACGGTGCGTGCGTATCTACACGTGTTTAGTTCGTAGGTGGGAAGAGCTATACATGTATATATGTACAGAGAGAGACGGAGACTTCCTATGCGCTGAGTGGATGTGCCTATGCGCGCCTGTATTTCTCCGTGTCTTCGAGGTCGCGCGAGGTTATGTGTACCTCCACCTACGCCTACATCGAGAGGCAAGAGACTTATACTCTCTCCAGATATATACGTAGATATAGAGTGTGCATTCAGACGCGTACGTGTTGGTATCTGCTTCTGGCTAGAAATATTTATTTAAGAAGAGAGGAAGTTTATGCGCTTCAGCGGATGCACCTGTGTGCGCCTGTGGCTGTGTGGTTGTGGGGTCGCACGGGTTTGTGTGCGTATTTATCTGCTCTTGCATCGAGAATCAAAAGGACCCTATTCTACACAGATAGACAGGGAGCTGTAGAACGTGCGTACGTGTCTATGCTGTTTCATTTTATGTGAAGGAAGAGCTATATATATATATAGAGAGAGAGAGAGAGAGAGAATATTTTTGCGTATATATATACACGTATGTACATGGAAGAGACGCGGAGCCTATTGCAGCCGCGGTGCGCGGGAAAGCGAAGTGATTAACAGTAGCAGCTACGTGGTGTGCGCACGCGTCTGTAAACGTATGTGTGGAGATGGATATATGTATATATATATGTATATATATATGTATGAATACACATGTGCGCGCACGCTTGCAGTTGCTTCTGCCAGGATAGACACATCTCCACGGCTGTCAGTGATCTTCTGCAAAGCGTACGGATGCGGTTCTCCAAGTGCCTATATGTGTGCATGCACCAGTATACATATATATATATATATATAGATAGATAGATATTCCTCTTCTATTTTTCATGTAGAAGGTGCAGAGTCGTTCTATTGATGCAGGAATGATTTCTATTTCGTATAGATTACAACTAGCCGTTGTGTTGATGCACGAATGAGATTTTATTTTCGCTTTTCTGGTGAAAGACGAATTGCTTGATATTCGCGCAGAAGCGAGTTACTTCGTTTTCTTCTTCTTTCCATATAGAATACGAATAGTGGCTGCATCGAAGCAGAACTGAGCGCTTCGTCACTCTCTCCTGTGAAAATATGAATAGGCGTTGTCTTCATGGAGGAATGAAACTATTTGTTTCATGTACTATAGGAACAGCCGTTCAAGTCATGCAGAAAATTACTTCTTCTTTTGCTTTTCGTAGATCATACAAACAGTCCCTGTACCTATGCAGGAGAAAAATTCCTCTTTTCCGTCTTCGTTTTTTTTTTATAGAAGACGGATGGTCGTTGTATTGATGCAATAATGACCTCCTTTCTTTCTTTGCATATCAAACACGAAAAGCCGCAGTACGCAGAAATAATTTCCTTGTTTTTTTCTCCATCGAAGACGCGGGTAGTCGCCGTCTTGGTGCAGAAATGAGCCCCTTCCTCTCTATATATAAAAAACGAATATCCACACTTTTCGTGCAGAAGCGAGCTTTTTTTCGTCTTCTTCCCATATAAAACACGGATAGCCTCTGTGCTGATGCGAAAACTGTTTCTTTTTCTTTCCATATACGAGCATCCCTTTTTGTGGATTGATACTACTGACGGTTGTACGTGATATGCAGAGCCAGGAAGCAGAGGTGGGAGATACGTCGATGGCGGGCCAAGGGGGTCGATTTGACGAAGTATACGCACGACTTCTCCGATGCGAAAGATATCGACTGGCTGAAGGAGATGCAGGCACAGGGGAAGCTGGACCTTCCTCCCCCTACACTCTGCGAGAAGCAGCTGACCCCGCAGCAACTGCGACAGCAGCAACAGCAGCGGGCGGAACAGGGAGAGAGAGAAGGGGACGAGGAAGGACGTCTCTAATGGGAATCGGAGGGGCAGAAGAGACAGCTGCTTTCGCTGCAGAAGGCCCACCAGAAGCAGGAGCAGCGGCCACAGAACAGGGGAATAAAGGAGGGAAGGAAGAAGAGTGATTTTGTTCGAGTGAAAATGAAGGAGATAGAAGAGACGCCTCCGTCTGCTGCGGCAGGCCCACCAGAACCAGCAGCAACAGCAGCAGCCAAAACTCGGATACCACATGTGTGGAAGAAAAAAGAGGGATTATACTGAGTGACAGTAGAGGGCACAGAAGAGACTTCTGCGTCTGCTGCAGCAGGCCGAGCAGCAGCAGAAGCCGCCAGAATAGGGAGATAAAGAGGCAGACAAAGAAGGGGGAAAGACCAGGGTCTTGCTTGTGTGTGAATGGATAGGACAGAAAAGAGTCTTGCTCCCGCCTGTCCTGCTGCTGTTGCTGTTATTGTGGCTGCTTTTCTTGTTGAGGGGAAGGACTGGAAACGCCGAGCTACCGAGAGCATTTCCTATATAGTCCGCATTGTGGTACTAATACTATATATTCACAGCTGCGCAGATATATATATGAACAGGCTGTTGCTGCAATGTCCATATCTGCGCAGATATGTACGAGCAGACTATTGCTGCGAGGTCCAAATCCACGCAGATATATACGTACATATACACATATGTGTAGGAACCGGCGGCTGCTGCCAAAAAAGACCACGACGCCGATTTCTGTATCTATGAAATCGCCAGGAGTCCACCAGAGCAGTGGGGAGGCGGCTCTCCTGCACTTTCAGACGTATGCACTTACTCCTCCAAACTACGTAGACATATATATATATATATATATATATATATGTATATGTATCCTTACATATATGATACAATGAGGCATATCGATACATGTGTATATATCTACACACCGCGTACACATCAGACACATCGACCTCTGTGCCTCTCTGAGTGTATATATGTGTATATATATACGTGTATATATATATATATATTATTATTACATGTGCTATTTATACTTGTGTATGTCCCGCGTACACACCGAACACATCATCGTCTCTCTCGCTCTCTCTCTCTCTCTCTCTCTCTCTCTCTCTCTATATATATATATATATATATATGTATATGCATGTATATGTGTACAGGCATATATGTATATATATATGTATATATGTATATGTGTATGTGCATACTCAGTATGTATATATATATGTATATATATATGCAGTTCTGTGCCCCCGCGCGCACATCAGCCACGTCAAGGTCTCTGCGCGGAGACGTGGCGGATAAACTGGAGGAATCCGCGTAGGCTATACTGGTGGCGGAACTGTAGAACGAATAGTGACTGCCTGGGGTGGTACCCGTGCGCATCCGCTCTGCGGATATGAGCAAACAACATCTACGTGTGTACACGCCCGCGGAGGCGTGCTGACGTGTGGTATGTATACATCAAGCACTGTCTGCCCTGCTTGCAGCTAGAGGCACATAAAGTCGCCCGACACATGCCTGCTTTGGTAAGACACACGGGTATCACTGTGCCCAGGTATGCTGGGGACGGTGTTTCTGTGTTTATATGCGGACGCCGCATATGCACAGTAACCGCTTAGACTTTCGCACATATACAAGTGTCTTTCATCAACTCACGCCTCACATACGTAGTATACTATATATATGTGTAACGTTGGAAGCATCAACACCCCTACATTTATCTATATAGCAAGTATAAAGAAGCGTCTGCTGGTACGCACGTATGTATAATATGCATGTATGTACATATGTATGTGTGTATATATGTATGTCGTGCACGCGTATTCCGTGCGTCTACTGGTGTACTAGCCCGTATAGGCGAGTGGTGGGCGTATCTGCATAGAGGAAGGCAAAGACGACACGAGACAGACCTCTTGTTTTCCTGAGAAACCGAGAAGTCTCCGTTTGTTTATGTGACCTCGCGTACGCGGAAGGAAGAAAGAAGAAAAGACACAGATTTTCACGGTCTAGGCTGCGAGGGGAACCGCGTTCGCCAGAAGCAGGTATCTGGCGGAGGCAGCGTGCCTCAATGCCGCAGTGGTACATACAAGGAGTCTTTGCTATATACACATATATATAGATGTATATATGCAGGAGCTGACATATATATTTATGTATGTGTAGATATCAGCATATTTTTTATGTGCATACTAGCACAGACTGAAAACGCATACTCTCCTGTATATATATTTGAGGACGTGCACCGTTAGTGCAGGCATGTCTGCTTGGGCGTATATATGCGGAAAGGTGGGCGCTCGCCCGTACACGGACCTACACGGTGTATACATGCACACGCGCGTGACTCTGTACACGGGTCAATTTAAGTAAGCATGCTGGTCCATACGTACGAGACATGAGTATGCATATATGTGTATATATATCTCTATAATCATATCTGTACATATATGTGTACTTGTCTATACATATATATATATATATATATATACACCCGTGTACATACAGACATGCATATAACTATATACATATATATATTGTCCGGCTGGAAGCGATTGTCACCCTAAACCAGAATTTTCCCTGGGCTGTCGGAGTCACTTCTCTGAGTTTTTGCTACTTTGCCCCGCGCGCCAAGTGAGGGATGCTTTGACGCATTGGCAAGAAAGGAGGGATTTGCTTGAGACGAATTGTCTTACACAGAACTAGGGGTGACGGCTGAGCGACGTCCCTCGCATGTTGAAAAGCAGGCGAAGTCGCACCAGCTGGGCGGGGCACCTCCCCGCGTTATTATGGAGTGTCTTCACTTATTTGCTTCTTGCCGGCCCTAACTTTATACCCTCCGCAAGCTGTAATTCAGGAGCGCTAGTAGCTATGTGTATAGTAGTGTACAAGCGTAAGCAAGCCATACAGGTGCATAGTCCTCCACAGAGGACTGGCTTCTACAGCCGAGGACTGCCCTAAAGGACTTTTTCAGTCCTCCCTTGATTCTATCTGCTTCATGCCAAACCTGAGCACACTTTCAGGTAGAGTCGAGTCCTCTACAGTAGAACGAGTGAGGTTTACATGTGCGGAGAGCTACTCAAAACGTTTTTGCGTATAGTAATGTACTTACGCTACCCAGTCAAACGGGTGCGTAGTCCTCCAGATAGAAAGTGGCTTCGTCTACAGCAGAGGACGGGATTCTATGACTGAAAGAGGCCTTCCCCGTTTTTATTTGCTTCGTGCTAAAGCTGCTGCACGTTCTCGCGGTACTCAGTGATCTGCGCATATTAGTGTACCCACATAGCAACGTATGAAGAAGTCGCACCGACCTGTGACCCAAAGAGTGCTCGTTTGAGTGTTACTGCTCCTTGCTGAGCCTGCCTACAGACCCTCCACGAGCTGCTATTTTACGCTAGTAAGGCCGTGTATGGTGGTGTACTTACTTACATACCGCAGTCAAACACGTGCAGTCACAGCTGGTGCTACCTAGCAGATATGCGTGTAGTATAATACTCACGAATTCACAGTCAAACACATACGTAGTCCTCCACAGCTGGAGACTTTTTTTCCCTATTGTGGGAAGCTGATCCCTCTAGCTGGAGGGGGCCCTCTTTAATTCCATTTGCTGCTTGCTGACAATCTAATGAGGGACATATCTTGGTTCTCTGTTGCCTGTGTCGACAATCTCTAATCACTTCTCATAAAGTACGTTCTTTCCTTAATCGGAACTCAGAAGCCAGACGTTGTGCGTCGTCTCTTTCTATCAGTTATTATATATACATGTAAATATATACGTATACGTGTCTTCGTACAGCTGGCCGTATAAACACCTGTATGTATCATGCTGATATGTGTCGTCCGTCACTCACATGTGATAAGGGAAGTCCTTTCGATCGCCTGTACTTGAAAGCCGAGAGCCATGTATCCTCTCTCCCTAGGCAGAATGTATGTATATATATGTATATGTGTCACATGTGATAAGGGAAGTCCTTTTGATCGCCTGTACTTGAAAGCCGAGAGCCATGTATCCTCTCTCGCTAGGCAGAATGTATGTATATATATGTATATATATATATATATATGCGTATATGTGCCTTTGTACTGCTCGTCATGTACAAGTGTTCCTTTTATGTTCATGTGTCTCGTCCATCACACACGTGTGAGAAGACGGGTCTTTTTCTGGCATGAGCCTTAGAACGCGAACTCTGTGCACACCCTATCTCTCTACAAATTAAATATATATATATATATATATATATATATATACATATATATACATGCGTATATATATGTGTTTGTACCGTCTGTTGTATACAAGTGCTTACATCATGCTGATGTACGTCGACATCACGTTCCTGCAGCAGATATATCTTCTCGGTCATACAAGTTTGAGTGCCTGAAAGGCGAGCGCTGCGCATCCTTTCGCACTCTAGACAGCATATATATACATATGTATAGGAATGTGTATGAGGCAGAATACATGTCTATATATATGTATATATACATATATGTATGTTTATATGTACTGCTTGCTACATACACTTGTTTGTATTACGTTGACGTGTGTCGGCCGTCACTTACATGTGATAAAATAGATTTTTCCGGTCCCTTTGTTGAGCACTTGCCGCTAGGAGGACACCAATGATGTGTGTTCAACGTCACTTACCCGTAATAACATCTTTCAATAAGGAGTCCAAATGCTTGAAAAGCAAGAGATCCCTCCCTCTGTACAATATATGCGTGTATATATATATATATATATATATATATATATATGTACGGTACCAGTTCTTATATATAGGTGCTCATATTATCTTAATGCGCGTTCACGCCAATTACCTAAGATAAAAACATTTCTTTCAGTCTTCTTAGCCCTGAGCACCTGAATGGCAAGGGCTGTGTATCGTCTTTTGCACAGCATATATATATGTATACATGTATACAACTGGGTATCTCTACCACCTGGTATGTACAGGCGTTCAGATTATGTTGGTGCATGTTGACCGTTTCCGAGTGTGATAAGAGGGGCTGCTCCGTTCATCTAATCTTAA